TATATATATATATATACAATATTTATATATGTAAATAATTTTTTAAAATATATTTGTGAAAATGTGAGAGAGAAAGATAGAGACTGGGAAATAGAAAGAGAGAGAGAGAGAGATTGAAGTAAGAAAGGAAAGGTAATTTAGTAGAAACCATCTAGCTAAACGTGATTTATTAAAAGAAGGAATATTTTTCTATATTTATTTGTGAAATTCTCTTCTGTTGAAAACTATCGACAAACTCGTGAATCACTTTAAACGCAAAAGTTAGATATCACGCGAGTTTGATCGCAGCATTATGGTTGCTCGATCGCGAAGGAGCGAGCTTGCAAGCTTCCTTGCTAGCTACCTACCAACCTAGAACGTTTATTAAACCGATGTCTAACAGAGCGGATTAACTAACTCTAATTAGTTACTAGAGTAGTCATTAATCGCATCGGTAATCAGCAAGAAACGTGTTGTTGTGTATTTCTCTCTTACATTAACCGTTAATTAGCTACCAACAAAATTTTTTTGTTTCCCTATTATGAAAAATTAAAATAATATTATTATTTTCTCTTTCACATTTTTATTTTTATCGTTAATTTAAAAATTATTCGTACTTTTTATTATTATTATTTTCTTTCTTTTTCCTTTTTTTAGGGTGAATATAAAAATGAATACGCGAAATGTAAATTTAAAAAATGTGTTCGCTTAAAAGAAACGTAATAGTCGAAAAGCATATCTTTTTTAGATCAGAGATCGCACATATATATTAAAATATTCGCAATGCACTTTTTCTAATAGAAATCGTATAAATCCGAAAAATACATAATTTAAATTTTTATATATATATATATTTTTATTATTTTACCAAAAATTATAATTTACGTAAGAGTAGGCAAAATAAGATGAAGAAACAAAAAAAAGATAAAAAAAAAAAAAAAAAAAAAAACAAAAACAAAAAATGCCATCAAATCTTCCCCGATTTTATGTAAAATAATTGGGCACGAAGTATCTCGACGTATTAAAATAATATATTTGTATTAAATATTTAAATGCAAAAGAAAAATAAATAGAAAAAGATAGAGATAGAGATAGAGATAGAGATAGAGATAGAGATAAATAGAACGAGAAAGCAAGAGAGAATGAGAGAGAGAGAGAGAGAGAGAATGAAAGAAACGATATCATTAATAACGTCATATACGTTCTTTACTCTCGTTTCAGGCTTCCCACATCAGAGAGCACATTGTATCCTTTGTGGTATGGCGGGGCTTCCGAGGGTCCCACTTCCGGCGTGGCAAATACGATCTGCCCCCCCCCCACCACCCTATCCTCTTTTCCTTCCACCATTCCCTCTCTTTTATCTTTTCTTTCCTTTTTCACCTTTTCAATCCATCCTTCTATTCTCTCTCTCTCTCTCTTTCTCTCTCTATCCTTTTTTTTCTTTTCACGAATTACGGGCCCCCCCCCCCATCTCACAGTTCGTTCTTTTTCCCCGTGTGCTTTTAGAATAGTGCACCGAGCTTCGCCGACTGCACGCGAATTCTTTACTCGTCAAAGGGATGGTGGAAACGCGAGAAGTGAGAAAAAGAGAGACAGGAAGGAAGAAAGTGAGAAAAGAGAGGAGGATGGGGGATGAATATGAGGAGGAGGAGGAGGAGGGAAGGAAAGTGGAAGATCATGAAAGTTCAAAATAGTCAGGGCCGACAGGTGGGTGGTGGTAGGTTGCTACGTCATCCTCGTCGACGTGTCCTCGTTCATGCTTTTCGAAAATTTCATCGTTCGTGGAACATGCAAAACGGGTGAGTCAAGGCGTGGGTATATGAATCGACGAATAAGAATAGAGAAACATATGCGAATAACGTGGGCGAACGTTTGTCATTTTCTTCTTTTCAGTTTAAAGCTCAATGGATCGTGTATTTATTCAATGTAGAAAAAAAAAAAAACAAGATATTTTTTTTTAATTTATTTTTTTTTTCTTTTTTTTTTTTTTTTTTTTTTTTTTTTTTTGTAATTATTTTACTAAGGTTTAAGAAATTATTCTGTTAGTATAATATGTTTGTTTGATTAAAAATATGATATTTTTCGTTAATTATTAGTTTTCCTTGTGATCAATTTCTTATTGAGTTTTGCGAAGTGATGTTTTTTTGAATATTATTATATCGTATGATTAAAGGTAGAATTTTCATTAATTTTTATTTATTAGATTATTTTAAGATTGAAATAGTGAGATAGGAGTGATAAATAATTAAGAAATTTAGGGAATCGATAATGAGAAAATATTTTTGTTCTTTTTTATCGTAATTAAGATAAAATAGAAGTAGCTCCTATCAAGACAATTATATAAAAATAATTATATTTCTTTAACGTATAATATATTAATACTAAACTTAACGAAAATTTATGTTTACCCATTTTTTTATTATAATTGATTTTTAGAAAATCTATAATTTTTACTATTGAATATATAAATGTTAAACTATTTTTAGATAATAATTAAAATAATATTTACAACTATAATTTTCGTGAAATGTTATAAAATGATTAAAAGTAATGACATTGAATATGCAGAAATTGAATTACAAATTTAAATTTGATCATTTGAATCATTTATTGTATTTTTAGTATTAGTATTTTATAAGAGAGAGA